AGAAGAAACATTTCCAGTTACATGTGACGCCCAAACGCACCAATAGCTACCGCATGGAATGCAGGTGATGCTTGGGATCATCATGGGGGTCCAACCCAAGATTTGCACGACTCTGACTTTGAATGTTACAGTCATTGTGGCATTGAATTCCAGGGTGGAAACATCAGTTTAATTGTTTTAGTGACCAGAAAACAAATTTTGATATGCGTCGGCTTACCCAAAATGAAAGGTTACGTGCCCTTGGCATGCTACAGATCGGCACAACACAGGCGGTTGTGGCGCGGACGATGAATGTTTCTCAGTCTGTCATAAGCAGGCTATGGTCCAGATACCGTGATACACAATCTGTACAGGACAGACCACGCTCAGGTCGACCAAGGGCGACAACTCAAGCCCAGGATCGATTTATCCGTACCTTGGCCTTGAGAAATCGTGTCATCACAGCAAATCAGATCAGCGCTCGTCTTCAAACAGACACTGGTGTGAGAGTGAGTGGCCAGACGATTCGGAATCGACTGCATAGGGGTCACCTTCGCGCCCGACGTCCTCGCGTGATCCCTTGTTTGAGAGATCATCACATTCAGGCAAGACGTCGTTGGTGTAGGGATCGTCAACACTGGGATAATCGACGCTGGAGCAATGTGATGTTTTCAGATGAGTCAAGGTTCACTGTTGATTTTTTGGACAGACGTAGGAGGGTGCGGCGTCGTCGAAACGAGCGCTTCCAAGACGTTAACGTCATCAGACATGATCGATTTGGGGGTGGTTCTGTTATGGTGTGGGGAGGCATCACTGTTGCTGGAAGAACGGCTTTACATGTTGTTGCAGGGCGTGTTACAGGCCAGTACTACCGGGACAACATCTTGGCAGTCCATGTTGTGCCGTTCGCACGACGTCATGGCCGCCGTTTCATCTTCCAGGATGACAACGCAAGATGTCACAGGGCCAGGATCGTTACAGGTTACCTCCAACAACAGAACATCACCACATTACCTTTGCCAGCACTGAGTCCCGACCTCACCCCCATCGAGCATGTCTGGGACATGCTTGGACAGAGGTTACGTCAACGTCAACAACGTCCTGCCAATGTCCAAGAACTTGCTGCTGCGTTGCAACAGGAATGGGACAATCTGGACCAAAATGACCTTAGACGTCTCATTAGGAGTATGCCACGTCGGATCAATGCTTGTTTGGCAAACAGAGGAGGATTTACCCGTTACTGACTTGGTTGTGATGCTGTGGTAACTTTGCTGTTTGACCCCGGGTATCATTTTACCCTTATAATGGTCAGTCTGTGCCTTACTTAGTCTAATGATCATTTGGAATAAATCGATGAATGTGAACTTCATTTCATTTTGTCATTTGTTTCTTCGTCAGTTTCATTAGGTGACTTTAATAACACTTAAAAATCAAATATCCCCTACTTTTTTTGAATAGTATATTACTCCGTTTACAACAAGTTGTATGTTCAATTAACGTTTAGGTTTAAGAAAGATATAATTATTACAATTCACATAAAATATTCACAATACTACACAAGCCGAAATGAAATTGTTTTGCTTTTAATCAAATTAGCACGTGGGTCAATCAATAAACAAACCACCAGCCATTGTGCAAGAAGAAAATACGAGGTGAGAAGAGGAAAACTCTCCAAATGTGTTTGATGAAGGTGGGTACCACCGATTACAAAATGTGCAATGTATACACGTCTGATATTGTCAATTCTGTAACAGCAAAATGTTTAAATTGTAATACCGGTAATTGCGGTGTTCTATTTCAGCCACTTTCAGCGTCGCGTCGCTTTTTTTTCAACGTTAATAAGCTAAAGAGAAAAAAAATGACGTAGACCTTTTAGTAGTAAGTGCAGGAGGACCGCACTACACGCAAAACAAAAATCTACACGATAAATCTGTGGACAAGACAGAAAATAGACATCGCACCAAATAAACAAATATCAAATCAAGTGAATGGATGGCCAGCCGTAAGCGTCCACTGCGCTTTACATGACGTCGCGCTTCAAAAAGCAACGCGGGCCCTTGGCGTCGCTTTTCACAAAGCCGACTCTTAATAATAATAATAATAAGAAGAAGAATATCTTTATTAGGCTGACCTTAAAAATATCTTTGTTTCACCAAACCCGACCAACAATCGAGGAGAAGGGTCGGTAGGTCGGTTTTTTTTTCAGATTTTTTTTTTTAAAGTTAGAGAAATCAATACAGAAAACTTATTAGCTGTATACTACAGATTCATTAATTTTGTTTAATGAATTTGGGGTCTGACGTAAAAAGTAACGAACTGAAAGTCTTTTTATTAAACTTAAGAGCTAATTTGACAGCTTAATATAGAGCGAAGCTCTAAAGCACCGGATACACTGGGCAAAACAGGCAATGCGCATGTCAACTTACCAAATCTCGTCCAAGCGAGATCACGTAACTAACAAAAATAATTCTATCCACCAAATCTCGCCGAAGCGAGATTACGCGCCTCATAGAACTATTTCTATGACGCGTCTAATCAATGACGTCACATATTTTTTACGTCAATGAAAATAATTCTCACACTTTTTTGTTCTTTTTTTAAAAACAAAATTAATGTATAAAATTTAGATCTCAATAAAAACTAAATTATTTAATATTTTTTGTATCACTTGAGAAAATTAATTATGAATGAAGGTTTTATATTTGACAATAATCAGCTTCGCTCTACTCAGGCAATGCCTGTTACATATTAATTTTCCGGGTGGAAACATTCGTCTTCTTTATTCAATTGGCAAAAAAATCAATGACATCGGGAATTTTTCGTGATGCCCGACTCGCAAACGATTTGCCACGAACTTGAAGTGTGAAACTCCTTCAACACGTTTTTAAAGATAGTGCGGGTTGTGCCTTCATTTTTCTCGAAAACGGATATTGAAAATATCGTCGTTATGTTTAAAACTACGCACCACAGACATAGAAGCAGAATCATTTCGTGGGGATGGACGTGTATTCGTCTGCAACCATTTTGTTGAGAAGCGACACCTATGACGATTTCGTCTTGATCAACCAGTTTCAATAATGAATCAAACCATAGCCATAGTAAAGGGAAATAACTCTCGTGATATATTTCAGGTTGACACACAAAATAAAATAAAAAGATCGTGGAAAAGTGCAATAAAATAATTTAAGTCGGGGGTGGTTTTAGTTAGTCGGTCGCGTTAGGCGAAACAAAGATATTTTTAAGGTCAGCCTTAGGGTAAGAAATTAGGCCAGGCCTTTTTACAACGCGAGAAGTGGTCGTTTTAGAACACCAGGCATAATTCACGATTTCCGTATAAATTGTGGGCTATTTAAATACAAAATCTGCAAAGACTGCGGTTCACATTTAACCAAGTGGCTGGCATTGCTATGGGTACCGGTTATGCTTCTTATATCACCAATGTAGTTTTACCTGAAGTTATCCAAGGAATGGAAATTTATTTATTCAAGACAATCATTATCAATTAATCAACACGGGTTCATTTTTGACAAATTATTATTAGCTCTAACTTATGGGGCGCCGTTTGTAAATTAATTATTTAGCTTTTTATATAGCAAAAAAACCACTAGATTTAATTTATATATACAGTTAAATCTCGACTTTTGTGCAAATTTTTCACTTTTAATATTTAAACTAAAAATACAACAAAAACTCAATATTTAACATAATATATATAAATATTTCTTGATTTGTCTCTATTTTCATATTTAACATTTAGCATTGAATATTAAGACCAAAACAAGAGATTTGATGATATATAAATATTTAGCTAAATATTTAGTGAAATGTTTAAACATTTAGCTAAATATATATTTAGTGAAATGTTAAAATATTTAGTTAAACATTTATATATTTAGTTAAACATTTATATATTTAGCTAAATAAAATATATTTAGCTAAATAATATATATTTAGCAAAATATTTATATATTTAACTAAATAATTATATATTTAGCTAAATAATTATATATTTAGCTAAACATATAGTTAAATTTACAAAGAGCAACCGTACCACGCCGTTTGTAAAATAATTATTGTTCGTGGTCAGCTTCCATTTCTAATTGCTAGTAGGCCGATTGTGCCAAGGCTCACGTGTCGGGTACACGTCATCATTTTTTGTGTCGCTTACGATAATAGAAGTATTGGCGGGACCACAAATATATATTTAGTTAAATATTTATACATTTAGCTAAACATATATATTTAGCATGATATTTATATATTGAGTTAACTGTTTATATATTTAACTAAATATATTTAGTTAAATGTTTATATATTTAGTTAAATGTTTATATATTTAGTTAAATGTTTATATATTTAGTTAAATGTTTATATATTTAACTAAATATATTTATTTAGCTAAATGTTTATATATTTAGCTAAATGTTTATATATTTAGCTAAATGTTTATATATTTAGCTAAATGTTTATATATTTAGCTAAATATTTAACTTTAGATTTTTCAGTGATTTAGTATTTAGCATTTATACCTACAAAAAACAGCACCTTTAGCTATATATTTAACTAAGGATGTGAAATCAAGATATAACATTTAAAGTTTTTCATAGACCAAAAACTCGACTTTTAGCTACAATATTTTTTGATATTTACATATATGCCATTTTTGTTCTAATATTTATCTAAATATATATATTCGGAGTTAAATCTAATGTTTTTTGCTATAAAAAAAATTAAATAATTATTTTACAAACGGCGCCCCATACTAACTAGTCTAAATATATTATGTCCGTATTGAATATGCGTTTTATTTTTATTTTGACTTTGTGTTATGTTCCTTTGAGACTCGTCTTTGGGATCGAATTATACATATAATCCAGCTCCTCCCGTTTAAAATTATATTTCGTAAGGTGATAATCAGTTTTGTCCCTGTAAATAAATACGAAACCGTGGTAGTAGATGGAAGAAGGCTGGCTCTCGTCGATTGGTCGGAGTTACTTCCCTTGAATGGGTTGTAAATTTTGATGAAATTTATTTTGAGCAAACTGTGGATTAAGATCAATATTGCACATATTAGATTTAAAAGGGTGGAAACATATTGTTTTATACAGATGAACGTAATACATCTGCAACCAGATTATTGAAGAAATCACAGGTTTGTTTTGCGAACGGTCGCTGCCAGCGGAGTCAATTATATGCGCCCTTGTTGATGCCTATCACTTTATGTTTGAGAATCGGTGACTTCAGACCTCAGACATCTGTACCTATAACGTTCATTTAGACTTAAACATATATTATGGAAGAGCTAAATCTTCCTATTTCAGGTCTTTCTTTAGGACAGAAAAGTTATCTAAATTATTAATTAGACATTAATTAACTTATCCAGACCATAATCAACTCTACTCTAGATGGCAGTGCTAGCCTGCGATCTTTAGTGGATTGTAAGCCGATTTACTGCATAACTTTCCTTCTCGATTAAACGATTAAATGGATAATCGAGACTAGGCTGTTTTTCGTACTGACTTTAGTAATGATGACCGAGGCTTATTTGAATTTCAGTCGCTTAGTTCTCGGTTCATAGTGGATCAATTTGAATGAAATTTTCACCAAATCGCCTTTACATGTACATTATCTAGTTTTTAACTATTATAGTGAGAACTGCCAACTCGTTACCGAATCTCCCATAATGTATCTTTAAAATAATAAATTTAATTGTATGGTATTGATTTTGAGAAGATCTATAGATTCGGTGTCAAAAGCATCAATTTATCAAAAATTTATTAGCTGACCTACTTCTAGGACGTGCAGATCTTGTGTCAGAGGAGAGTGTAGTCTAGTTGTGTATTTCTTATTGCGTGGTTTCGATCCAACATTTATACGTGACAAAGAGTAGAACCACCGACAGCTGCCTAACCTTCTGGGTTTTCTCAGGGTCCTAAAGATTCCTATGCAGTAGGCACAAGTGAATTATTGAAATGAAATTGTATCATATCACAATCACAGTAACATACATGTATAGTCTGTGGGTGTCATTTAATTTTGCGTATTTAGTCTCTTTCACATTCATTCAATATCAAATCTTTTTTTGAAAATTCATAAAAATCCTTTAATTTTTACCAGTGGTCATTTTAATGCTGACTCTTTAATTTTGATTATGAGTGTCCAATTTACAAGTGTTTAATTTCATGATGCACTGCTCAAAAATAAAAAAAATAAACAACCCAATTAATTGGGACGTTTTATTTTGAGGTCCCGTGTACACATAACCGTTGACAGTTGCAATTCGAAGTAATAGCAGGCTATAGCAAGGCTCTCCGGGCAAAACTTCCTTCATAGCAAATGGTCTTACGTGTGCACTTTAAATCATAAGGTCTGTGAAGTGGTGTAGTTTTGATTCCTAGCTTGTACGTGACATGGAGTAGGGCTGTCTTTCAAACTTTGAGTTTGCTCCAGGTCTTCAAAATTCCTCCTGCTTCTAATGACTCCTATGTTCAAGGGAATTACTGACATAGAATTGTACCATCAGGGTTCCCCCGGTCCTTGAAAATCCTTGAATATCCTTAAATTTAAAATTTCATTATCAAGGTCTTGACTATCCTTGAATTTCGCGGAAATAGGAAAATATCCTTGAATTTCAGTTGAGATCCTTAATTTTGTTTCAAATGTCTTCAATTCCTTTTAAATATGAGATTATAACGATAGTTAGTAATGTTTTGGTTATTTTTAAGATGAAAAATTGTAACTTAGGCTAAAATATGTCCTTGAAAATCCTTGAATTTGACGTATATTTATCCTTGAATATCCTTGAAAAAATGTTTGACGAAGCCGCGGGAACCCTGACCATATATAAGTTACGAAATAATCTAGTGTATGTTGAGTCAACGTTAAGCCCCATTTCTCTTTTTAAGTTACTCTCTGTTTTTGTATTCTAGCAAGATGGAGAACATGCAGTTTCAAGAGAGTGGAATGATTGTTCCGGAAGGCAACAACCAAATGATGAGTTATGATTCCTACAATTATAAAAAATATCCTGATTTCTCTAAATTACATCATATTAAATCTTCCCAATCACAGAGTTCAGCCCACTACAAAATATCACACATGGGACTTAATAACATCATAGAAATCTGTGAAAATCATGTCATAGGTCAAACAAATTCTGTTCAAGAAATTGTCACACTCTGTTCAAAGATTTCTGGCTATGAATATTACTGTAATCAGATCGTGGCTTTTTGTAATCAGATTTTTTCTGAGACGCTAAACAGTAGCCACACCATAATTAGTCTGTGTAAATCCGTTTCACAAATAGATTCTTCTTCAGCTTCAACGTTGACAGATCCTGTGTATTCTAGTAGTAATAGTGGTCATAGTGCCGATACCTATAACAATAGTCAAATCATCTACGACGAACCAAGCACAAGCAGTCAAATTCAAACTACAGAAGACAAGGAGATATTCATAGGAAACATAGATTTAAAAACTGGTAAAACAAACATTAAAAAGAAGAGTCCGGTTTTAGATGAGAGTAAAACCGTTTCGACAGAGGTAAAGGAGGAAGACAGTCCCGTTCCCGTTCCTGATCCTGATCCAGTTGATCTGGAGAGTGATCTAGAGTTCCCGGATGATGACCTGAATGATCCGGATTTTGAAGAGGAACCCGTAAAGAAGCCACCGCTTGTAAAATTATCAATCTTCAAATGTCGCACATGTTCAAAGACATTTAAAACAGATAAAAAACTTGAAAAACACAAACAGTCACATGATAAGAAAAACAAAATTTGTCATTATTGTAGTCAGCAGTTTAAAGATTGTAAAACTCTTAAAGAACATCTGGCAACTCATGACTCTAAAAACCTCACTTGTGAAATTTGTGGAAAGACGTTAAAAAATAGTTACAGCTTAAAAAATCATGTGTTAACACACGGTGATAACAAACCGTTTGCATGTCCGCAGTGTGATTTTAAAGGTATTAATAAAGCGCGGTTGTCCCTTCACATGGTCATCCATTCTAACGAAAAGAAGTTCCAGTGCGATAAATGTGGTAATCAGTTCGCCCGTAAGAGTGATCTAAGAAGTCATATGCTGCAACATGTAACAGTCAAAGCTTTTCCGTGTGAATTATGTGAGTATCGAGGTCTGAGTCAGAAACATTTGGATAAACACATGGTGCGTCACTCGGATGAGAAGAACTATCAGTGCGACGAATGTGGTAAACGTTTTCCTCGTCCGGCATCATTGAGAAACCATCTTCGATCTCATGCTGGTATTAAATCGTATCATTGCGACCAGTGTCCGAAAACGTTTACACTTAGTCGTCATTTAGCTCGTCATAGAAAAGTTCATAAAGAGGACATGCCTTACGCGTGTGAAGTTTGTGGGAAACGATCGCGACAAGCATATAATATAACTGTTCACATGAGAACGCATAACGGACATAAACCATTCTCTTGTGAAATATGCGGCAAAAAATTTGCACATAATGTATCATTAAGACAGCACAGGAATTTGTGTGCGAATAAGATTGAAAATACTTCAAGGGTTGTTAGTGATTTTTTAAACATGAATTATTAAAGAAGAGATGCATTTATACTGAGTATTAGCCATTAGGTACAGCAACAAACGTTGACACTGGTGTTAAAGAAAGTATGGGAGGTAGGCTCCATTTATACTGAGTATTAGCCATTAGGTACAGCAACAAATGTTGACACTGGTGTTAAAGAAAGTATGGGAGGTAGGCTCCATTTATACTGAGTATTAGCCATTAGGTACAGCAACAAACATTGACACTGTGTTAAAGAAAGTATGGGAGGTAGGCTCCATTTATACTGAGTATTAGCCATTAGGTACAGCAACAAACGTTGACACTGGTGTTAAAGAAAGTATGGGAGGTAGGCTCCATTTATACTGAGTATTAGCCATTAGGTACAGCAACAAACGTTGACACTGGTTTTAAAGAAAGTATGGGAAGTAGGCTCCATTTATACTGAGTATTAGCCATTAGGTACAGCAACAAACATTGACACTGGTGTTAAAGAAAGTATGGGAAGTAGGCACCATTTGTGATATTTGTAGAAATATAAAACCTACGCATGTCGGTGTGTTCATAAAGGGGCAATGGAAACTGTAAATCTTTATTTGGAAATGTCATTGCTGTAAACACAAAATATATGGCACAGAATAAGCTTGAGCTCTGTGTAAATTCTAGGACTGCAACGATATACCGTGAGATAGTATACTGCGATATACATGCCACGGTTCGGTTTACAGTACTTAAAGTTTCGTATCATGGTTCGATAAAACGGTACAGATTTTTTTAACCGTCCATATTCTTCAGATACTCAACTATCATGCAGAGTTATGTCCCCCTGTAGTTCATGTAACAAAAGGAAGGATGGCTTCCGGCAATGAAACATTTGCCTCAAGCGAACCACAAATCACGAATATGGGAACATTTTGTATTAAAAACGCTAGATGGAAAAGCTGTGGCTACTTAAGTGGAATGTCGGCATTAAATATCAAGTACTTGTTTTCATTTTTTAAGTTAACTTAAATCACGGATATGGGAACATTTTGTATTAAAAACGCTAGATGGAAAAGCTGTGGCTAATTAAGTGGAATGTCGGCATTAAATATCAAGTACTTGTTTTCATTTTTAAGTAAACTTGGAAAGAAAAGGTCTGTGATGCATATCGTATCGTGAGGTCAATACCATGATACGTATCATGAGGTCCATACCGTGATACGTATCGTGAGGTCCATGCTGTGATACGTATCATGAGGTCCATACCATGATACATATCGTGAGGTCCATGCCGTGATGCGTATCGTGATTCGTGAGGTGCATATAGTGATACGTATCGTGAGGTCCATACCATGATACGTAACATGATTTCCATATCGTGATACGTATTGTGAGATCCATATCGTGATACATATCATATCGTGAGGTCCATACCGTGATACATGCAAATATTGTATCATGAATTTGGCGTATCGTAGCAGCCCTAGTAAATGCAGCAAATTTTATTGAAATTATAAATTATAGTATATGTGTAGTTTAAACTTAACACTAGAAGTGAGTTAACAGTATAACTCATATATACATCACCCATTATCTTACAATCAGCACATTCAAAAGTTTTTGTTAAAAGCATAATGAATTATTATTTAAACATTTATTAACATGACAAGCTTATGATCAAGCATCCTGATCATCGGATGGCTTTGATTAATTCAGTAGATTAAAACACAATCATCGCCATTTAATTAATTTATAAATGGATAATCAAGACTTTATTGTAGTGACAATACTTGACAATTGAGACTATTTTGTGAAAACTTCAAGCACTCATACCGGTAACTTTGCTAATAACTGCCAGCTCTTTATATCTTACAGAATGCATCTCTAAAAATTGTCAATGAATTATTGTTTGACACAAGGTACTATTTTATGGATACACAATTAATGAGTTTAATACTAAGCGATGTGGGGATCACGGTGGCTACGTGGGTAAGGCGCTGGCTCGCTAGCCTGGAGGTCGGGTGTTCGATCCCTGCATTGGCCGAGAAAGTTCATCCCGATTTTCCGGCGTGGTTCTCCCTTGTCAGTGATGCAGGACGGAGGGGCTGACAAGGACAGCTGTCTAGTCGTTCGGATGGGACGAAAAACCGAGGTCCCGTGTACTCATTGGCGTGCACGTAAAAGATCCCTTGACAGTTGGAATTCGATATAAGAGTAGGCCGTAGTGCCGCTGTCCGGGCAAAATTTCCCTCATAGCACACTGTATGGCGTATGCCCGTCTTCATTAGCCCAGTTCGGAGCAAAACAGTAGGACGTTAAACCCCATTTCATTTCATTTCATTTCACTAAGCGATGTTTCGACGAGGATACTCTCGGATGCTCTCGTCTTTATTAAGCAAATGATACAGATATGTGAATAGTAGGCCTATATATACAGAATATGTAACAAAGATAAGAATCAAATACAATTAAATCTTAACACCTAATTGTATTTGATTCTTATCTTTGTTACATATTCTGTATATATTTGCCTACTATTCACATACCTGTATCATTTGCTTGATAAAGAGGAGCGTATGTTCGTCAAAATGTCTCTTAGTATTAAACTCAGTGACTGTGTATCCATAAAATTGTACCTTGTGTTAATATGTTCAATTACTAAATGCCAATCAAAGAAGAATTATTGTTTGATGATTATTGAAGCTGGTATATAATTTTGTTTAGAAAACTGTAATTGTATGTACATGTACATGTATTATTTTTTGGAAATAGTTAGGTGTACTTGAAGTGGTTGTGTCAGGTAGTAGTACATCTAGGGTATTTCTTACCAAAATTCCAATTAAATTATGTTTAAGAATGCAGACTTCTCATTGGTTGAGAGTTGAAATCCTGGTACAAATTTGATCATATAGCCAATGAAAAGGCTTCATACTTAAAGTTTGTGAACAAAGTACCAGTTTGTGTTTGTATTACTGTTTGTATATGTACATGTATTTGTTTCTTCATCCCTGAAGCAGTTAGTATTTTTACTGGATAAAACAATGTTTTTTGATATTGTATTCTATTTATTATTGTATATTACTTTGAAATGTGATTGTATATTATTGTCACCCTCGTCTGTCATCCACAATTGGTTTTGGAACCCCTAGAGACTTACTTTAATATTCGATTGACTTTAGTTTACCGGGGTATATACAGAGTTTAAGATCATGTGACAAGGAAGCCTATTGATTGTCAACAATTTCCTATAATAACTGTGAGAGTTATGCCCCTTGATCACTTTGAAAAACCTTGTGGATTCCCTAGAGACGAAAGTTATCATCCGATTGACTTGAAATTTAACACAGTGTTTAAGATCATGAGGTGGAGAAACCTATTGATTTTCAATGATTTCCAATAAATTCAAATGATATTATTACTTAATGGGTTGTTACCCTTAATTAGTGTCTTGTTAATGCTTTCATAAGCCCTGTTTACACTTCACTTCAGTCGGCCAGATTGGCACCGTACCAGGCGCGACGTGCTTACGTTTGACCCGTTTACACTACAAAGAAGCGAAGCATGCCGTACCTGGTACGCTTAAAATTTGTAATGTATACAGGGTTATAAAAGTTGATGACAACCCTTGTAGACTGCTTGGACGACTTGGCTACTATTGGCATATGCTCGTTGCCTGGCATCCTATCTATTAATAATTTACGAAATCGCCAATATATAGTCAATAATATCAGAATCAAACGTAGATAAGGTATATGGATTAAATTTATAGATAGAAATGAAATGAAATGAAATGGGGTTTAACGTCCTACTGTTCTGCTCCTAAACTGGGCTAATGAAGACGGGCATACACCATACAGTGTGCTATGAGGGAAATTTTGCCCGGGCAGCGGCACTATCGCCTACTCTTATATCGAATTCCAACTGCCAAGGGATCTTTTACGTGCATTCCAATGTATACACGGGACCTCGGTTTTTCGTCTCATCCGTCCTGCATCACTGACAAGGGGGAACCACGCCGGATTTATAGATAAGAGTATTTAGATTGAATGTTAAATTGGAATAATAACAACCATATGTAACACACCCAGGGGTCAAATTTCCATGTCAATTACAACAGAAAAGGAGTTATATCCATATATATACATTATCTTGTGTTTTATTGTTGTGAATAAGTAATCATACTTCTAGTTGTTAACGAAGGCATTGAATCCAGGCCCTGAGTTAACAAAGCATTCTCAGACTTAAGTCAAGAATTTACTCAAAATTGCTCACCTTATTGTAACCAAAATATAGCCCATTATAAAACTGTTGTTGTTTTAATGTATCAAATAAGAAACTATGTGCAAAGTTTTGTGTTTCTGGATCAAAGATATTTCTTATGAACAGTGATTGAAAGTTGAGTAAATTTTCAACTTAAGTCTGAGAATGCTTTGTGAACTTGGGGCCAGGGCTATATTCAATATAAGGCCATATAATAAAAATATTATGGTTCTCAGACACTCTTGCGTCATTTAAAAAGAGACACATGACCTGTTTTTGTTTAAAGAAATAGAAATTAAAAACGGTCTGATTAATTATTACCGTTTTCTGGCGATGTTCCCTTTTGTCAGTGGTGCAGGACGGAGGAGGGCCTGACAAGGACAGCTGTGTAGTCGTTCCGATGGGATAAAAAACTGTGGTCCCGTGTGCACATTGGTATGCATGTTAAAGATCTTTCGGTAGTTGGAATTTGATATAAGAGTAGGCCATAGTGCTGCTGTCCCGGGCAAAATTTCCCTCGTAGCACACTATGGCGTATGTCTGTCTTCATTAGACCAGTCTGAGCAGAACAGTAGGACGTTAACCCCATTTCATTTTATTTCATTATTTACTGCTCGTAATTGTCTTCTCCTGGATACAGGGAGTAGCTCTTTTTAAAAAAATTAAAATCAATCGAGAAATGTACCGTAGGCTCAATGTTGTTCCATGTAATGAGATATTTATGAGAAGTCATTTATTTAGTCGAGTAGTGATCCTTTGACAAAATAAAAACAATAACCTCCCCCCCCCCCCCCCCACACACACAGCATATTTTTAGGAAGGACTGTCTAACAATCACATTTATTTTCTTGTTGAATGTTCTACTGCTTTTGTAAAAAACATGTTTAATATTGAATAATAAATGGGTTTTTTTTATATCTTGACAATATAATATAATGTATTTCATCTATAATTTATATACATTAATACTTTTGTAGTTTGTTAAAATGATATTTATATGAAACTTAATTGTAAATAGACTCTTTATGGTTTTAATTTATCTCATTTTGTTGGCAGTAATATGTTAATATTTTTAAATATTCTTTTATACGTAATATATTATTTATATCTAATATTTTACATACATGTAGTGTAGTGTATCGGTTAGTGAGTAATTGAAATATATAGGCCTATACAGTATATGTATGGTTTAATGATCGAGAGCGAGACATTAAGTAATATATTGATACTGCACAAGGCATTAGCCGAGTGTTGTTTCAATATATTACGAAATGTCTTAAGCTCGAGACCATTAAACAACTTAAAATACAGACACTATCCCGCACGTGCTTTTCAATGAAATACATCACGTGAGTCCAATATTTCATCTAGTATAGATAATGTATGATTGGCAAGTTGCCCGTACATTATTGGAAATAATGGTACTCCAACATCAAAAGATGACGTCACATATGTATATGAAAGCATTTTCATAATCTCTTTTTCACAATTTCTGAAATTATTAGGTATTGTTATATTCTGACTTTGAACCGCATTTTATCAGTGTAAAGTTTTTGTGAGTTATAGGATTGTTGTTGGAAACCACAAAAATGTACATGCCTGTATCTATAGGGGAAGGCTAGGTGGCGTGCAGATCAAAATAAAAGTACCGGTAGACAGTAGTGTCGCTGTTTGGAGCAAATGTCCCTCACTGTACGGTGTATGCCTGTCTTCCTGTCTTCATTAGCCTAGTCACTAGCAGTGTAGAAAAGTAGGATGTTAAAACCCATTTCATTTCAGTTTAGTTAGCCTGTATAGTTTTGATTTTCAGTAAAGAATTTGCAATAAAAAGAAAGATCAATCCCTGAAGTGATGGTAATGGACCATGTAGTCTAGAAATGTGTGGTATGTTCTAGAATGTTTCCTCATAGCATCCATAGTAACACATTTTTATCCAACCTCGTGGGTTTTCTCCGGGTCCTCCGGTTTCCTCCCACTGCTAAAGACCCCTACGCGCAAGCGAATTATTGAAATAAAATTAAAACCATATGTTAGTCCCGAAATGACCTAGTTTGTTTCGAGTGGACGTTAAACCCCATTTCTCTCTCTCTCTCTAACACATTTTTATACGCCCACATTAAAATGTGGTCGTATATTGTTGTCGCACCCGTCCGTCCCTTCTACTGTTCTGCTCCGATTGGGCTAATGGAGACAGGCACACATCATACAGTGTGATCTGAGGGAAATTTTGCCCAGACAGCGGCACTACAGCCCACTCTTATATCGAATTCCAACTGTCAAGGGATCTTTTATGCGCACGCCAATGTGTACACAGGACCTTGTTTTTTGGTCTTATCCGAACAACTATACATTGTTCCTTGCCAGTCCTGCTGTCCTGCACTCAAGACAAGGGGTAACCACCCTGGATAATCCGCCAGTTTAGCAATTCAACATCTTACTCACTGAGCGCCCCTTTTCCAATAGGGAACCCACAAAAACAACTCTCTTCTATATACCGGTATTTATATTAAATTAAATGTTAATGTATAGATATTTAATTAATATAACTTTTTAATTAAACTTTATATTTATAGATATATATATAGTTACCCAGTATTGGCTATGTGTGACTTTTGTTAGAAATATGTTTCTTTTAAAACTTTGTTATAGCTGTTATTGGTATTATTATTATTATGTGTAAATATATATATATAGCTGCTCAAATCAATGTGTGATTTAATAAAAATAGAATATCCTAATCTCTATTTGTTCACAATGTTTGTGGTATTGATAGGGGGGTGGGGGAGGGGGGTCGCCGAATGGTCAACGTATGCATGTTGGATCATAAGGTCTGTCATTGAATTAATTGGCGTCTGGCGTGGTTTTGATTCCTCACTTATCCGTGACAAGGAGTAGGGTCGCCTGTCTAACCTTGTGTGTTTTCTCCGGATCCTCCTGTTTCCTCCCACTGCTAAAGACCACCACGAACAAGCGAATTATTGAAATACCAGTGGTTTCCAGGCAAGATACACCCACATTTTGTAGGAGATGGATAGAGAACAAGCTAAAAACAAAAGCGATTTTGCGTACAATCAGGGGCCATAATCCAGAAAGTTATGGTCTGAAATGCGCAAATATCGAAAGGAACTGAGATCTTTGGGATATAAAGGCATATTTTAAGTTTTATCAAAATCAGATAAAAATTGTAACCTACAACCTTTGTATTGCATACTTTTACACAATTTGCGTACAAAGAGCGGTAATTTTGTCGGGCAGTTTTGTTCCGATTTTCCCGAAATTCAAATTCAACCTTCAGTTTCCTCCAACTGCTAAAGATCCCTACGGGCAAGCAAATTATTGAAATAAAATTGAACCATATGTTAGTCCCAAATTGACCTAGTTTGTGTCAGTGGACATCATTAAACTTCATTTCTCTCTCTCTCTCTCTTGGTCATGAGAGAGGGTGGACGGAGTGGGAGAAGCTTCACATTATTTGACAAGCTCGTAGCATGGAAAGCTTGCCAATCAAATCAATTATAGAAGGTTCTAATCAGGATTTGATTTCTACTGTTATGACCCGGTTTAAGAAAGCTGATCAAGAAAGACTGATTGACAAATATTGTGAATAAATGGCAGGTGAGTCTATAGCTCTATACCCAGTAGGCTACTCTATGCCTATGCTATTTTCAATTGATACTCTGCTACTTGTGAGAAGGTAAAAAGATAAATGGCATTCCTCATGGATAATGATTATAACCCCCCCCCCCCCCCCCCCCCCCGCCAACCAAGATAATGAAACGAAATGACCTTAGGTTTAACATCCCTTTTTTCTGCACCTACCGGATTAATGTGCTACTAGGGATATTTTGCCATAACAGCAATTAAAATCAAACTGTTAACACTGGCCCTTGTTTTTTTTTTTGTCCCATCTGAATGACTAAACACTTTCCTTGCCAGGCCCTCTGTCTTCCACTGCTAATAAATCCAGATGAATTTTCTTGATAAACACTGGGATAGAACATGGGACATCCACATTAGCATACCAGCATCAAACTCACTGAGCCAGCGTGGCTCCCAATTTGTCAGGAGAGAGAGAGGGAGAAATGGGGTTTAACCTCCACTCGACACAAACTAGGTCATTTCGGGATTAACATGGTTCAATTTTATTTCCATAATTCACTTGTGCGTAGGGGTTTTTAGCAGTGGAATAACTGGAGGGCCCGAGAGAAAACCCACAGGCGACCCTACTCCTTGTCACGTACAACCGGGAATCGAAACCACGCCAGTTGACTCCATGACCGACTTTATGATACAGCACGTGTGCTAATCATTCAGCCCCCCCACACACACACACACACCCAATTTGTCAGGAATAACGATGGTATACGACCATGAAGACAATGAATATCATTGTTTGCTTTCAGTGAATAAAAAGATTTAAACACAGCAAGAAATCAAATACCTAGTATTGGATTATTTTATTTTAAAATAATACAGGCCGAGTCCAAATTATAGATTTTAAAATCTGATTTTGATTAGAAAATTGGTTTTGGGAAAATTGTTGGTAATACAAAATTCGCCTCCTGAAGAATACATTTGGGTTGCTAGAAGGGCGTGACAGGATTACAAAACGGTCTTCCTTTAAGGAAAAATAAGATGCCCATCTGTTTTGGTTTACGACCGAAGGGAAATACCCAGATAAAGTCGGTCACTGGGTCAATATTACGTCATTTCATGCGGTAGTCTCCGGTATATTGCCATCTATTCGGGACTCTTCCGTTTTCAAAATGAAATGACTTTTGGATTGAATGGAAACAATTTCTATACATAACTATTACCAAAGGTGGCTATTTATCAAAATGCAGACCCCATTATTATATTATATTATGCAGGTGAATACGAAACTATGCAGACAACAAAAATAAACCGAGTTACGTCCCCTGAAGTTATTACATTTTTTTTATTAACCGAATCTACAGAAATAAATCTGTTTATGGAAGCTAACCCAACAAGATAAGGATCGTGACTTAGTACCAGAAGAAAATAAAAACAAGATAGAAAAGGTACCACCAACAGCCCACATGTAGAAGGTAAATTCATGCTTCTTGTTGGTTACATCATTAACTATTTATAATAATTCTAATCAACTCGCTCAAGCTTGAATCGCTACTTGAAATGAATGAGAGAGAGAAATGGGATTTTTAACGTCCACTGGACATAAACTAGGTCATTTCAGGACTAACAATTGGTTCACTTTTATTTCAATAATTCACTTGCGCGTAGGGGTCTTTAGCAGTGGGAGGTACCCGGAGAAAACCCACGAGGTTGGACAGGCGACCCTAGTCCTAATTGTCACGTTAGAATGGAAACCAGACCACTTAGTCTTAACTCAATGACAGATCTTAAGATGCAGAAATGAAATGAAATAGGGTTTAATGTCCTACTGTTCTGCTCCTAACCTGGGCTAATGAAGACGGGCATATACGCCATACAGTGTGCTATGAGGGAAATTTTGCCCGGGCAGCGGCGCTACGGCCTAATCTTATATCGAATTCCAACTGCCATTGGGCCAAGGGATCTTTTACGTGCACGCCAATGTGTACACGGGACCTCGGTTTTTCGTCCCATCCAAACGACTAGACAGCCAAGCCTGGAAATAAGGTACCTGTCACAGACAATGTCAGGCACAGTTTCAGGCTTTGTCAGGCACAAAACCTCTGGTGCCTTTCATTTTGTCCGGCACTGATTTGTCTTTTTTATTGATATTATTAATACATGTCCGGCACTTAGTTGAAAGTGTCAGGTAATATTTCATTTTGTCAGGTACATCTAAAACTGTTATTTCCAGGCATGTAGACAGCTGTCCTTGTCAGGCCCTCCATCCTGCATCACTGACAAGGGGAAACCACGCCGGAAAATCCGAATGAACTTTCTCGGCCAATGCAGGGATCGAACACCCGCGACCTCCAGGCTAGCGAGCCAGCGTCTTATCTACTTAGATGCAACACGCACACGTTAACCATTCGGCCACCCAACCCCCCTCAGCTTCAATGAAGGTGCTCATTATATTAAGTCATTTGTGAACATTTAGAAGTCTGTTTTATTTTATAATTTCTCCATACTGAAGACGAATATAATCCTTGAGTGGCATTTAGTGATTGAGCACATTGAAATATAACCGACCGACGATTTGATGACATTTTGGTCCTGCATAACACCGACAACATTTTGGATTAACATCATTTAAGGCTCAATGTCCTTGACATTTTCGTCCTCGGGTACACAACAATTAAGGTACCCGGTACGTGAATATTGCTAAAAGGAAAAAGAGAGAGAGAGAAATGGGGTTTAACGTCCACTCGACACAAACTAGGTCATTTCGGGACTAACATATGGTTTAATTTTATTTCAATGTTTCGCTTGCGCGTATGGGGTCTTTAGCAGTGGGAGGAAACCGGAGGACCCAGAGAAAACCCACGAGGTTGGACAGGCGACCCTACTCCTTGTCACGTACAACCGGGGATTTGAAACCACGCCAGTCGACTCAATGACAGACTTTATGATACAGCACGCGCACGCTATCCATTCAGCCATCCAACCCCCCGCTAAAAGGAAAAGTTGAAAACAAAAGTCGTATCAGTTTATAATAGCCCCCAAACGATTTTATAAAAATAACATGTAGATAAAATTTACTGTTCATAATTAGGTCAACCGAAACATCATGATACCCAACCAATGGCAGAAAAAGGGACACCAATGAAATATATAAACAATAATTGAACAGCTAGTCATTCTTGTAATCAAAATAATTTGTTTTTCTTTTTTAGTTACCGTACAGAAAATATTTGGGTAATGCCACCTTCCATTCGAAAATTTGAAACATTGTCTATCCTCAAATCAAGTGTGAAAACCTGGCTGTTTAGTGACTATAATTAACCAACGTGAACACTTTCATGCACCTAGAGCATCCCCAAGTGGAATGGATTGATGTACAATATAAATTGTGTTTTTATTATTATTATTATTATAAAATGGAGGATAAATGTTTCGATATCGTCTCACCTTTTCCATCTATCAATCAGGAAATTAGGGGATCGGCTAATACAAAAGCTATATCGCAGGAGTACCAAATGCCAGTAGGCCTTATGAATATTGTGGAAATTTGTGAAAATCATATAATCGGTCAAACCAAATCTGTTCAAGAAATCGTCACCGTTTGTTCGAAAATAACAGGTTATGAATTTTACTGTAATCAGATCGTGGCTTTTTGTAATCAGATTTTTGCGGAAACTTTAAACAGTAGCCACACCATTATCAGTTTGTGTAAATCTTTCAAACAAATAGATTTAACTACAACAAAATCAGTCAATCAAGATACAGCTATAAATGAATCTACTATTCAGACTACAGGAAGTTCTGTGGAACCAAATTTTAATGAAAACAAAGGACTAATCAAGGCGATTGAAAAGACAAAGAAAAAAAATAATTGTGTGTCTAAAAATAATGAAAGTGCATGTAGAAGGAAAGGTAAATCTAATTTACAGTATGATTCAATCCGAATAAAAGTAGATCCTGATGGCCATGGTAACCATAACGATCCTCATAACCTTGATAATCATAGGAACCATGGTAACCTAAACAAAACTGACAAATTTGATGACCTTGGTGATTATAGTAACCCAAACAACACTGATGACCATGGTAACCTAAGCAACACTGACGACCTTGAGGATCATGGTATCATAAGCAACACTGATGACCTTGAAGACCATGGTAACCTAAGCAACACTACTGATGAGCTCAATGACGAGCACAATGACCTGGATGATCCAGAATGGGAAGAAGACTTCGAAGAAAGAAAAAAATCGAGTCACATTTGCTCAGTTTGTTCAAAGATGTTTAAAACCAAAAAGCAACTGCAGAAACACAAACATTCACATGGCGTCGTGAACTGTGCATGTCCCTATTGCTGTCAAGAGTTTAAGAGTAAGTCAGATCTAAAAGAACACATGAAAACCCATGATAGTAAAGATATTGTTTGTGAAATATGTGGCAAAACTCTCAAAACTAAACTTAGTCTAAAAAATCATGTGTTGACCCATGGAAATAATAAACCTTTTGAATGTACATTGTGCGATTTTAAGGGAATAACCAAAGGACGATTAATTCGTCACATGGTCAGTCATTCTCCAGAGAAAAAATTTCAGTGCGATAAATGTGGCAATCGTTATTCTAGAACTGGTGACCTTCGAATTCATATGAAACAGCACAGCGGTGTGAAGGCCTTCCCATGCGAACTGTGTGATTATAAAGGCTACACAAAGAAACATTTAGATCGTCACATGGTTAGGCACTCGACAGAGAAAAAATACCAGTGTGAAGAGTGCGGAAAACGTTTCCCGCGACCAACAGCACTTAAAAACCATCTGCGATCACACGCTGGCATTCGCTCATATACATGTGATAAATGCCCGAAACGTTTCACACACAGCTGTCACTTAGCTCGTCATCTGAAAACACATAAGGATGAAATGCAGTATGCGTGTGAAGTTTGTGGAAAACGATCTCGACAAGCGTATAATATAACGGTACACATGAGAACGCATAACGGACATAAACCATTCTCTTGTGAAATATGCGGCAAAAAATTTGCCCATAATGTATCATTGAGACAACATAAAAGTATTTGTGGGGGTAAAATTGAAAGAGGACCCGTTACTGATTATTTTTGAATGACTCACACAAATGTACAATTGTGAAATCAAGACAAATGCACAATTATCAAATCAAGACAAATGCACTATTGTGAAATCTAATGCACTATTATCAAATTTATACAAATTCGTGCAAAATTAAAAATATATTATAAATATCAAGTAAATTATAATTGTTATTTTATTACAATTACATGTATATGTTGTGTTAGAATATTTATTATTAATTACATTATGTATGTAATATTTTCAAAAATAAATGAGTGTATTCCATGTTCATGTTCGATCCCTGCATTGGCCGAGAAAGTTCATCCAGATTTTCCCATGTGGTTCCCCCTTGTCAGTGATGCAGGACGGAGGGCATGACAAGGATAGCTGTCTAGTCGTTTGGATGGGACGAAAAAACAAGGTCCCGTGTACACATTGGCATGCACGTAAAAGATCCCTTGACAGTTGGAATTCGATCTAAGAGTAGGCCGTAGTGCCGCTGTCCGGGCAAAATTTCCCTCAAAGCACACTGTATGGCGTATGCCTGTCTTCATTAGCCCAGTTCGGAGCAGAACAGTAAGACGTTAAACCCCATTTCATTTCATTTCCATGTTCATGTAGACTCTAACATCATCAGTCTATTGAATTTAGTGGTGGTGGAGTACCTGAGTGACTGAGTAGTCTGTCATAATATAGAGAGAGAAATAGAAACATGGGTTTAACTAGGTCATTTTGAGACTAACATATGGTTTAATTTAGCAGTGGGAGGAAACCGGAGGACCTGGAGAAAACCTACCAGGTTGGACAGGCAACCCTTCTCCTTGTCACCTACAAGTAGGGCATCAAAATCACGGCACTTATAACTCAATGACAGACATTATGATTTTGTTAAAACACTAGACCCCCTCCCCCTGCTTGTTAAAGTCTGAACAGTAAGTAGTCCAGCAGCCCAGAGCATTTTGGTAAACGATTAACCTTGAGTATCGGAAAGTTTACTGAGGATCCTAACATATTCAGATATGAATGTCTGTCGGGGCCTAGTTGCTGCGTATGGCGCATTAAGCCAAAAAGAGGGTGCCCAAAAAATGGGCTGTGTTAATAAAGTCTGCCATTGATGCTTGTTTCACTAGTATGATATCTTGCTTATAGGCTTTCCTGAAATCTCTTGTTTCCTGTCACTACTACTACAGTCGAATTTCTGAAATAAAATATACATGTTAGTCCCAAAATGACCTATGTTTGGCTGTTGACTCTTATAGACTTATACAACCATACATACGAGAATTCAAAGCCATAACTAGCTCAGAGCAGCAAGGGGGCGGGAAGTGTTCCTGGGGGGGGGGGGGAGGCTGTAAAATTGACAGACAATGTATGTCTATGGTCAACAATTTTTTCACTGGGCGGGGGGCAAAATTTTGCATGGGGGGGGGGGGTGAGGCTGCGCCCCCCCCCCAGTTGTGGGCCTGCAAGAATTACTCCATTTAAATGTAAAGATACAATTCCAGGTGAACACTTTACACTGTCTACAGACTACATATAAATAATGAGGGGGGGGGGGTGGATGGACGAATGGTTAGCATGTGCATGCTGTATCATAAGGTCTGTCATTGAGTCAACTGGAATTGGATCGCCTGTCCAACCTCATGGGTTTTCTCCGGATCCTTCAGTTTCATCCCACTGCTAAAGACCCTAATAACATTACAAAATAAACATCGAGGATATTGATTAAAATTAATTACGATATGAATCCATCAAAGGGCTAATAAACAGAGCAGTAATAACATAACAAGATGAACATCAAAAATATTGATTAAGGATTAATTAATTAAGATATGAATCCATCTAAGGGGTAATAAACAGAGAAGTAATAACATTACAAAATAAACATCGAGGATATTGATTAAAAATTAATTAAAATTAATTAAGATATGAATCCTTCTAGGGGCTAATAAACAGAGCAGTAATAACATTACAAAATGAACATCAAAGTTATTAATTAAGGATTAATTAAGATATCATATCTCCTTGGGAGATACATGTATAATCCCTCGTCTCTGTTCAGTTCAGGTTTAAATCTTCTGATTTGAATGGCTTCTTGTTTTTTTTCAGACAACTAGTATCATTGTGTATAGCAGTCGTTGTAAAACTAACTCGGAGAGATTTTGATTTAACAGTTTTTGTGTATTTTTGAAACAGGCTTCGAAGCGTTTTGGTTCTGTTATGCAAGATCATTTTCGACGTTCGACCAACGGTGAATTTAGCAAGTTTACATTTTTATAATTTCTCCAAATTTCAAAATTTAATACCAAGTGACATTGTCCTTGTGATCAGTTTGGTGAAGCCTCATTTATTTTTGAGGATCAATTGATCAGAGATGGCTTCAAGCAAAGGGGTTCAAACTAGTTGTAATAAATTTATTTTAAATGCCATAGATAATTTGAATGCTCGTTTTGAAGAGAAGGGAGATGCTGTTGTATTAAGTAATTTTTGTAAAATATATGATGTAAATAGTAAGATAGATGTAGGATTTGTTGCTAATATTGAAGATTATGTGAATTTGTTGAAACTCGATACTTTTACCTTACCCGAAGAAGTTAATGGCATTTCGAAATTATGTTCAGTGTTCAATTGTCTGACTTAGGCGATGTTACTATTACTGCCATTTTTAAATTTGCCTTAACTAAAGATGATATATTCTCAAGTGTTTGTGATAACAGTAAGCGCTTGCTTACAATTCCTGTGGCAACTGCGGAGTGTGAAAGGGGATTTAGTAGGCAAAATATTATAAAAAAACAAGGGGAATTCGTTGATGTTCGCAAGTCCGTTCGTTTGACATTTTGTTCTCTAGTCGGATAAACTAGTGATCAGGCGACGGACGGTATCTGGTCAGATCTATTTATCTCGACGATCGGTGCCTGACACGATCGGTGGCGCCGCCACTGTGTGCGTATTGGAAAAGTGGTTATTCCTGACAGAATACTGACACTTTACCTCATCGATCAGTGCCTGTTTTTCAAAATGTTCTGGGGGAGGCCCCCTACCCCTAGTTAAAGCTTGTGCCTTTGCCCCCTTAACCTTTGACTTTGCCCCAGCTTTGCCCCTCCAATCACCGACGGCTGGCGCCGCCACTGTGTGCGTATTGGAAAAGTGGTTATTCCTGATTTAGAAAAAAGCTTTCAAAGAATGGGCCTCTGCAAAGCAGAGAAGAATATTGTAAATTGTAATATGTATATTGTATGTATTTATGTAGATAACCAGCGGCTGCCAGGCAGGATACGCCCACATTTTCGAGAGATGGATAGAAAACAAGCTAAAACGAAAGTGATTTTTCCTACAATCAAGGGCCATAATTCAGGAAATTACAATTCGATATGCGCAAATATCGCAAGGAACCGAGATCTTTGGGTTATAAACTTACATTTCAAGTTTCAACAAAATCGGATAAAAATTGTGACCTCTACAGTGTTCACAATCCAAAAACGTGATTTTTCGTACAATCAGGGGCCATAATCCATGAAGTTATGGTCCGATAGATGCCAATATCGAAATGAACCGATATCTTAGGGTGATAAACCTATATTTCAAGTTTCATTGAAATCGGATAAAAATTGTGATCTGTAGACTGTTCACAAACAATTGTGGACGGACGGACGGATGGACGGACAGGGGCGACGACAATATACGTCCACATGAAAATGTTTTAACAAATTTTTGGCGGAAGAATTATATATGGCTAATAAATTAAATTGAAAAATTGGCGGGAAAAAAAATGGAACCCAGAGTGAGCACTGATAAAAACCTATATAATTTTCACGATAATTTTTGTTACCTTACTGGCCACGCAGAAAAGGGTACGCCCATTTTGCATAAAAAATTATTCAAACCAGCTTTGGTGGCAAAATGTTTTTATTTCACAGAACCAATTGATGAATGAACTACTTGAATGCAAAATTCCAGAAGCCTCCTATTTTGGCTTTTCGAGATAATAACTCGGCCATATAAGATGAAACGAAATTTAGGTAAGTCTGGTGCGAAAAAATTGGCATTTTTGAAAGAATTTGATTGTAAATTATTGTAATTTAGCTAGGCAAAGCAATAAATCACTGAAGATTCTCAACATTTCAAAGATTTCATTTTTTTTTCTCCCAGGCTTACCTAAATTTCGTTTCATCTTATATGGCCGAGTTCTTAAATTTCTGCGTTACCCTTTCAATGATGTCCGCCAAGTCAGTTAGAAGACGGAGACGTATTTTTTAACAGCGTGTTGTGTCGCTCATACTGACTCTAGCCAGGTAAGCAAGGTCTTATTTTCTCCCTAAGATGTTCATTTATATTGTTCAGGCGTTCACAGGGACTGACACGCGACCGGTTAGCAGTAAAAAGTTGCCCAGTAAAATTGACTGGGAAGCGATTAGATTTTCGACAAGGATCCAATAGGACAGTCCCTGAACGTAGAGATCGAGTGTAAAATGAGACCTACGTTCAGAGCTGAACTAGGGCAGACTGGGCAATTTGACGCCTAAACGTTTTTTTTTGTTTCCTGGCCAACTTAACGCATGCATAGACTGGAGAGTTGGGCTCTTTATCTGTTTTGTTTGTCTTGGTTCCTACGCCAACTTAATGCATGGGCAAGCTGGGAATTTGACTCCTTAACCGGTTTGCCTTGCTTCCGAGGGCCAATTTAACGCATATGCAGTCTGGGCAGATTGACTCGTTATCTGATTTGTCTTGATTGTATGTGGTATTTTAAGCATGTCATGGCTCCTGGCTAGCCATGACTGAACCGGTGTCGCAGTTTGATTCCTTAACCGGTTACTAAAACCATGTGGGTCCGAAAATGTTCTAGTTGACATACCACATTCAGAAACTGATCAAAGCATTCGTGCTATTCTAAACACGACTGTGTCTGATCCTGTTCGGAACCTCCACTCTACAGAAATGGTTGGACAACTTGACTGTAAATGGGGTACTTTAAATTATGAACAAATTATCATGTGGCAATCTTACCAATTCATCAATCCAAATTCAAAACTAAAAAGAGTCTCAAAACTACGAGGGAACGTTATATTCTTTATGGGCCCTGGAGCCTACCATAGTCGCTGACCCCTTCC